GAAGTGCTTTCACACTAAGCCTAGGTAGTCAATAATTTTACGCTCTGGCGTACAGATAGGAAAAAAATGCTTGACTTTTTTGGATGATTGACAAATCAACTTTCATGATTCTATTTCCATGAGTTTTATGATAATTTTTAAGTTACATTTTGGCCACTTTTTAGTCACTTTTTAAAATGATTTTGTTCACTAATTCACTTTTTTATTGCTTAACACTACTATCAGCCCTGTTATAGGAATGCATCCAAATTTTAGTGCAAATCAACCCTTTTATATGTTTTATACATTCCTTAGAATCTATACTATAAAAGAAAAAAATGTCACGGCCAACTAGATGCTCCATTTTTTCATGACATTTTTTTTCAAAAGGTAAAGGGTTCATGAAATTCCTCCACTTCGTGTTTTCACTGACACTGATCTCACCACCCAGAAAGTCATACAGAAGTGAAAAGTGAGATGCTTTGCTTCTCTGCAGCAGACATGTAGATTCATTTTGAACTTTGTCCATTAAGTAGATCGCTGGATGTGTGCCCGTGAAGTTGTGAAGTGGTAAAACAGTTTGTATGATAAATGGATTCCGTCAATAGTGTCCTTAATCACGATTTTTGAGGTACATAATGATATTCAATTATCAACGGTGGATACCTATTAAAATAATGTTCCGCAATCGAGTGCCAATCTCCGACGGACATCGATTGCCATCCATTGACTACAATTGAATAGCCACGGAGGCAGCTTCCACACTAGAGGAGATATCGCATCCATCAACCACATGGGTCACACAAATCAAGGAAATTGTTACTATAGTCGATTAAATGCAGCTAAAAGATAGGATATTTTATGACAAACAACTTTGCTGAAGAAAGCATAAGTTTATTGTTGATAGATTTTATGTTATTCTTGATTTTATGGAGAAAGAATAGTACTATTTTTTCTATATTTTCTTTAAAAATGTTATATATTTGCAATGCCAGACAGTCAATAAATAAGATTATTTATTTGGAATATGTAGTAATAAAACATATAAACCAAAATAGAACTTTTCAGAGATATAGTCAGATTTTTGGTGCTCATAAATATCAGTTTTCAGCGGCGCTGGTGGTGTAGTGGTAAGCGTGATTACCTCTCACGCCAGCAGGCCTGGCTTCAATCCCAGTCGGCGTCGCCGGGATGTTCTGAGGCATCTCTGATCACACCTTCCTTCGCAAGGGGAGTAAAGCCGTTGGTCCCTGGTTCATGAGTTGATGGCTCGATAGGTAGGATCCAGGTATAGGAGCTGCCTCCCTGGCGTCGGTAGCATTGGTGCTCAGCACGGAAAACAAGATCGTGGAAAACAAATCAAGGAAAAAAAAACATCTACTTTCGGAATAACCTCCATTTACTTCTTTTTTGTACTAAACTTGATTTTTTTTCGAAGGAATTTTGAAATGTTTTTTTTTTTAGAAACAACAATGTTTTTTTGTAGGGAAAATCAAAGACAGTTTAGGAAAGAACTTTTAATGATTAATAGCTCTTTTGAAAATTCCAAATCAATTGTGAAGAGGATTCCAGGATCCGTGAAAAGTATGAAGTAAATCGAATTTTGAGCGCACAAATACAAAGAAATTCTGATGATAATTTAAAGAAAATTCCAAGGGCATCACGAAACGAATTTCTTAAGAATTTTAAAGAAACTTCTAAGCAAAATTGCAGAAGAATTTAGAGGAGAATACCAAGATAATTTGATCAAAATTTCAAGACAATTTTAAAACGAATTATAGAGAATTTTGAATAGAATTATAGCAGGAATTTTCAGAAAATTCCTAGAGCTTTACAATTCGACGAAAATTTAAGGATGAATTTCATGTTTTTTATGGATCTGCAGAGAATTTCTAGGCTTAAAAATATATTTTATGGAATATCAGAGAGAATCTCAATCTTATTTTTGAAGAAATCTCAAATAAACACTGGGAAAAGATTCAAAAGAAAATGTTGGAGATTTTTCTAATAAAACTCTGTAAAGATTTTTGATTGAATTTTCATGGAAGTTAAAATAAAGACAATTTTTGAAGAATTCGAACACAGGTCTGAATAACTCGACCCAGGAAAAATGCTGCTGTTTTAGTAATGACCCAATAAACCTAGTGATCCTTTCGCATTTCGGTTTTATGCTTAACATCGGGAAAAAACCGGAAAATTGCTAATCGGAATTCACTGGTCACCATGAGATCTAGAACTTTTCAAAGTTCCAAAATCCCAAAATTAGAAAAATGAAGTCTCAGCCATTTGCTTAATTTCAAGCTCGCAACCTTAAATTTCAAAGTTCGGCGTTTGAAATATTTTTGGAAGTTTTAGACCTTGAAAACTTGAAATCTTGTCTCTAATGCCTCCCTTCATCTCCGGAATATTTAATTTTGAATAAAGTACCCTGAACCATGTCATTTTTCTAAATCCAGGATCATATAATTTTCTAAGCATGCAATCTTTAAAAATCTAAGCCTCAGGATTTCCATTTTTCCCAAACCTTGAATCTTGACCCTTTTCTGTGTCCAATTGTGGAAAAATTGATTTCTTTTATAATTTCCTCTACAATACGCTTGAAAATCTTCTGCAAAACACTCTCTGGATTCACTCTGCAATGCTCCTCATATTATCAATAATTCTAGCAATTCCATGAAAAATACTCCTGAAAAAATCACTTGAAGTTCTCCTCAGTATACACTTATTATTTTCCTGAAATTACCATAGGAATTGGAACGGGAATGTGGAATTCCCGTAGCACAACGGACGTGAAAATCACGTAAATTTTTATCAAAATTTCATTTGGCCTTTACGTGATATCTCGTAGCTTGTACGTGCGAGCCGATAGAAATGATTGAAGGGGAATGTTTAAGGGATTACGTGATGTTTCACGTAGCATTAACTTGAAGATTTTTCAGTGTGTAAATTTGCATGGCCGTCAGAGTTTTAAAACACACATAAGGCTGATGTCTCTAATGCCGGCCAAGGTGGATAACATATTAAATAAAGCATTTTTGATTAGTTTTTCGTTAGCAACCAATATAACAGTACAGATGACGCTTTGTTCTAAGAAAATTTGAAAACAGGATACTTTTATCCATATCCATCCGTAATTTTTAGATCCATAGGCCAACATTAGAGTTATTACCCCTATTTTATTTGGCGTTGATTGTGCATTAAACCCATTTCGTGATGTTGAATTTCAAGCAATTTTGCCCTTTGATTTCGATTTTATAAATAGGATGCAGCAATTTTTCTTCACAAGTGTCTCTCTCTCTCTATATATCCAGGGGAAATGGCTCTGGTGTTGTAAAAATCTGCTATTTATCAATTTTATCTAGTTGAACGCGTCATTGGGACGGTGCTAATGGATATTTTTGGTCGTTATTGAAAATTTAGTCGATTGCTGAATTTATGTATGGGCCCAAATTAAGGGCATTAAGGCCGACAAAAGTGGTGATCAATCTTTACCCACCTTATATTGGCGCAATATGTGCTAGCGTGTTAGTGAAAGTCCGAGGAAAATAAATAACAAATCGCTGCCAAACTCATTTTGACCGATGTCATGTCATATCATTTTTAGGCTAGTCAAAAGAAAATAATAAACAACCGCTAATGTGCATGCAATAAACGTCACTAATCTCTATTGACAACAAATAAATATAAATATAGAATAAAATTTTCAAATTTTGAAAATTTAGGGGTTTATAAAAAAAATCTGGACCCTTGAATAAACTGCAACTTGAACGAAATTGCATGATTTTGGAACTTCAAGGTTTGGAACTTATGGTATGTTTCTTGTCGATAATTATTATAACATGACATAATTAGACTGCACATAACATTAGAAAGAAAAATCAAGTTTTGGGAACTTAGCCAAAGTTTTTTTTTTACTCTCGAAAACTGCCGGTGGGCGTGTAACGTTCTTATGTTTAATGGAACTTCCAGTTATGCGTCCATCTACAGTAGAAATTAGGAACAAATAAAAAAATCTGGAAGACTTGAGGAAAAATAAGACTTGGAATGGTTCAGCAATAGCATCTACTTCTAATCAGTTGTAGATCACAACATTTAAGCATTCCCACATTCTCATCTGGCATATAATCTCTTGTACGCAATGAAGGCATTATTCCAACTAAATACCTTTCCAATATATCAAGAGTGATTCCAATAAATCCAGACCTTTATTTGAGAGATGATACACGATCATCGCCACTGAGAGTGAACCCTTCGAATAAAGTGAGGCAAGATCGTCTTCCTTCTCCTGTTTTGCTTCTAGAAAGAAGTTGAAACCAGTTTTAGTTGGTCGGTCTTTACAGCTCGCACTGTTCTGTTGTTGTCGTCGTCGTAGCGTAAATACCAACTTAGGTGTGCACAACAGTGTATGTTGCTTCGGTTGTTTGTTTGTATGCGTTGGCCGGAAGATAAGCCACAGTGACCGAGGTATAAGCACAACAAGCGCAGGCGAGGAGAGCGAAAGATTGGATTCTATCGGTAGAAGCACGTATGACGAGGAACCGTGATGTTGTGCTACGACGAGCGGAGAAGGAAGAAACTGGACGGGTGTAAACAACGCACCGAAGTGTTATCGCATCTTCTTCTTTTAACAATTCAAGTTCTGCAGAAAGAAAGCGCAGTAGTGCCACAAAATGAGAACACTGGCCGTAAATAAAATACCGATGGTACGCTTCAAACGTGGTCATCTTTTAATAATAGATGACATTTTTTCGGACCATTCGTAAATCCTTCCGCGTGTAAAGTGCATGCATGAGGACGGGTGTGGAAGTGAAATAGATATTTCACTTCGGTTATCGCGGAAGGTAACACCGTATGCTACGCAAAAGAGCGTAGCTTGGTTAAGTGCGCAATTTATACTTCTTCTTTTAATCCTATCAGAATGCACGTGCTTGGTATTGTTTTGTTTTGTTTTTATAATTGACAATCAAGGAAAGGAAGTTTCCCATTTTTAACACCGAACTTTCCTGCTCTTTTCATTGCAGTCTAATATGGTCTCGTTCATGCAGTCACGAGGATATGGATCTCAGAGCGGGAATAGCATCAACAATTTCCATAGCGTGTTCGACAACGGTACGTCGGAGACGGGAACGCCTCCACTGCTCGACCTGTCCGAGTTTCCATCGCTCACGAACGCGCGGGGTGGCCAGAACGATCAATCGTTACCGCAGTCGAACGCACTGCAGCCTCCCGGGAGTAAACCGTATGGTAAGTTTACAGCTCACGCAGGAATGTGAAAGTTATAGAAGTAGTAATATATTGGCGCTTGTTAGGGTTATCGATTATAGAGTCGGTACAGCGTGCTGTTGCAGAGTTGTACTCTCTTGTTCCAAGTTCAAATGGCAAATGGCTACGGAACAAGAGAGTACAAATGCGACACTGTGATACACATTGGGTAGTGAAAATTTGATTAGAATTAGAACTTTAGAAAACTAGGGTTTTTGATCTAATTTCCGTCCTACTAAGCACATCCCGCGCTTTACCTCTCTTTTCTGAACGAGTTTAATCGAAAAATGGAATATTTCTATCAAAGATGACTTGCAAATTTATTCACCTTTCCATATGTACCGTTGGATTTGATAAAGAGTCACAAATTGTTGAGATATTGTTTAAAATCTAATACTGCTTCTTGATTCTTAATTCGTCATACGAGTTCCAATTCCTTCCTTATGCATTGAAACGCCATTAGAATTTCTTCGTCCTACGGATAAACGTAGAAAAAGGGGATGCGCTAGGAGCGCTTGTTTTGTTTTGAGAACAATGAGCGTAAATATTCATACAATGCGCTCTAACAGGATTTATGTTGTAGCTAATGAACTAACGCATCGGAACAAACCTATTATTGATTTTTGCATGGTGAAATCATTGATATTATTGATCTTTTCTGATCGATAGAACGGAAATGGGCGATTACGACGAAGTAGCGCTCTACCCTACTGTATCAGATAGGGACAAGGAATTCAAAATTATGGAGTATTTTTCAACAAAATCTCTCTATTTATCAGCTTTTCAGGCAAATAGAAAAAAACGTTCTAATGTTGACCTATAGAGCTAAGATTGGGCCCATCGCCAAAAAGCTGCTATTTATCAATTTTATCTAGACGAACGCGTCATTGGGACGGTATATTTTTGGTCGCTATTGAAAATTTAGTCGTTTGCTGAATTTATGTATGGGCCCAAATTAGGGACACTTAGGCCGACATAACCTGCATTTCCCCTATATTATTTGTTTTCACCGACCATGTATTAGGTATAACCGAATACGCTACGATAGGGAAGAGGGGGTCTAATATTGATTAAAAATATGCTAGGGCTAAGTCATTTATAAATGATCCGTAACTGTCGCCATATGGAATGAAATTTCTGTAAAACATTTAACATTTATGCATCTACCGTTCTACTTCTTCTGTGTTAACCGTTTAAGGTTTTCAAAAACTTTGTTTTTTTTTAGGGCCGCCACTAGATGGCTACGCTACAATCCTCTAAACAATGGTGCTCAACCTATGTTAATCTTTTGTAATAATGATACGAGCCGCAACAACTGTGATGTCAGATTTCTCTGATATGTGAATTCCGGCAATTCCACTTTTGAAAGTTTGGCGTCCATTAGCCCTATTAAAAAAATACAGTTGTCATTCTTGCCTTTATCGCAATTATCCGACTTTAATTGTAAGGGTAAGTCTTTATACCCTTCGGAGAGTTGGAACACGCTCCAAAGGCGGACCCCCCCTTGTCAATCAAAGAAGTTCCTTCGCAACAAAATCAAGCAATAACACCTATAATGACCAATGCATCAGAACCCTTTTTTCAGTTCTTTATTAAGGAGATTTTTAGACTATGACTAGTTCATCTCCGGGATCAGAACCCTAGTCTTAACCACTTCAAACTAGAGAACAGCGAATAAAAGATGAGAAATCACGTAGATGAAAAATAACTACCTAGCTCATTTTTTTTCCTTATTTCAAGACCATCCTCGGTGCACAAAACCGAGTTTTGTCACTATCAACTATCAGCAAGGCATAAAAAAGTAAAAAGGTGTTCCTTTGATTACAAAAACAATCCTATTCCCCTAGTTTGAACTAGTTTGGACTAGGCTTCGGTGATAGATTTTAATGCCAGTAATGCCAGTAAGGCGTTGCTGGAAAAAAATCTACTAATTCCATAATCCTGCAAAGACAAGCAAGAAATAAACACGTTGTAACTGTTATAAATGTTTTCGATTTATTCTATCGCGGAATAGACCTACCGCACAAGGGCAATTCTGAGGGAATTCTGAAAACACGAATCCCTGAGATAAATCCATTGCAAGGAGGAGAGTTCCTTGGAAATTCTGAGAACAATGTCTAGTGAATCGATTTCTGAAGGAATTCTGAGGAGAATTCCATATCAATGCCGAGGAAAGCTTTAAGGGCATTTTAATGATAATTTCAAGAGTGTTATTAGGAGAATTTTAAGAAATTTCTTGGTGCATTGCAAGGGAATTCTTAAGGCCTTTTAGAGATAATTCCGTGCATAATTCTAAGACAATTCTGTAATGCAGTGCAATTCTTTCTGATAAAAATTCTAGGGAAGTTTCAATCCCAATACTAAATTTTTAGATAATTCATGGGGTATTATGCAAGGAGTTGCTACAGTGTTGCGGATACAATTTTAAGAGAATATCAGAAAGAATCCTGAACTTGTGTTAGCGAAATTCTGATAGGAAGTTTGAGGAAATTCTTAAATAAAACTTTTTTTTTTTGAGAAAATTCAAAAGAAATCTGGTGAAGAGCTCAAATTAAAGTAATTCTTGCATATAACATTTGTAATAATAGGAAACATAGAAAAAAAAATCAAACTAATTGAAGACCAAGACAAATTCTTAATATTCCAGGAAAATGTTTGCTGAGAAAGTTCTGGAATCAAAAAAAAAAAGTGAGATCTTATACTAGGAACTGGGATTGTGATCTTCAAAATAAAACAAATCTCTACGACATATAAATTCTTAAGATTCTGGTGCTTTGCAACATTTTCAATATCTTGGACTTGAAACTTTTTTCTTTACCGAGATTTGCACAACCGAGTACTCGGTTATCAATTTTACTTAGATCTCAGCAAACATGACGTTGTTTATTGAAATTCAGCAAAGCATTTTCCGAGACTCCACAACTAAACGTCATTGTTGCTGAGATCTTTAAAAAAAAACAGTAAACGGCTGTGCAAATCTCGACAAAAAATTTGAAAATATTAAGTAGGAATGGGTACAAAAAATCGCACGTTGCCAAGAATGGGACCGTAATATAAATATATATATGTATATTTTTTTTTTTAAATTATAGTCACTTTAACGCTCTTGGGTCATTCGTGACTTGTCCGGGGGTGAGATTTGAACTCGTGACTTTGGCGTGGCGCCCCCTATATATATAAATAAATGAGCTCGTAGCTGATTTTTGAGAAAGAAAAAAAAATGAGAATTTGACGAAATTTCATCCGATGACAGTGACAGAATCATCCCTGAAAAAAAAAATCACCTGCAATATTCATTAAAAATGACATTTGCCAGTCCTGATTAAGATACAACATCTCATTTAGATCTTTTCCAAAGATGTGTTGAGCTTTCTGTTCTTGACTATGACCTCTGTATCATTCAGCACCGCACCCATATTAGTACATAAATGCCAAAAAAGCACCTTGCCTTGCCAAAAGCGCCTTGTTCAGCCGAACGACCAGTCGTGACAATTTGCCTTACGTTGAAATTATTTGCTAGGCTTAGGCCTCTACCGACACCAGTTTTGTTCCCTGCAAGATCTGTGAAAGCGGAACGTAAAAATTTAAGTAATTCAAATTCTAATCATTTTTTTACCCGAGTAGAACGTGTTCAAAATTAAGGATTAAACAACTTCATTTCGTAGAATGAAGATGCCTTGTCCTAATCACTTTAACTTTTTGACTAACCTTCCCACAGTTGGTATGGTAAAGCAGCCAACGGCCGAGCAAACGGAGTTTACGATGTCGAGCGAAGACTTCCCGGCCCTGCCCGGTACGCAGAACGCGGAGAGTGGCCAGCTGGCGGCGAGTCAAGGGCTGCAGGGCGTTCATCATCATCATCATTCAGATCATCATGGTGCCGATAGTCTAAGTAAGACGGGTGGTCCGATCGGTGGTGCTGTTGGTATGGGGATGGACTTGCAGAACGACGCTGGCAATTCCAATGTGAACATGGACAAGGGAGCTATGAAACGAGGCGTACAAACATCACCCAATGGTACACCGTTCGCTCGCAGCATGAGTTTACCTCGCTTCTTTTGACACTGATTTTCTATTTTCTTTCCCGTTCTAGGAATGGTAACGAATATTCCTGCTAGTATGGTCAATAACCAATTCGGTATGGTTGGTCTCTTAACGTTCATCCGCGCCGCCGAATCCGATCCAAACCTGGTAACGTTGGCGATGGGCCAGGACCTGACGGCTCTCGGACTGAACCTGACCTCGATCGAGAACCTGTATCCTAGTTTCGGCGGCCCTTTTGCCGATTCTCCGGCGAGGTAAATTCCAAAGCTCACCGTTGCATTATTTCTTGCAGTAGCTTACCAAATTCCCTTCATTTCTTCCAGACCCCAAGATATCGACTACAACGTACCACCAGAGTATTTGATCAACGTGTCAATAAGGGATAAGCTGTCGAAGCTAACGTTGCAAAAATATAAGGATGATCTATTATTTTATTTATTTTACACGAATGTTGGTGATGTGATGCAGTTAGCTGCCGCTGCGGAGCTGTAAGTATCTGGGCATTCCACTCTAAGGAAGAGCTTCCTAACCTGAGCAAACACTTTACAGACATAGTAGAGATTGGCGATATCATACGGAGGAAAAGGTGTGGATCACTCGTGTGCCGGGCATGACACCGTACGAGAAGAATGGCACAACCGAACGTGGCACGTATTACTACTTCGATGCGCAAAATTGGCGACGGGTGCCAAAAGAATTTCAAGTGGATACAGTGAAGTTAGATAAATGTCCAAATCTAAGTGCTTACGTTACGATGAGCGGACAGCCTGTATAATATTTATTAATTTGTAATTAAAAGAAAAATTGCAGAAAACAAAAGCAGATGAAAGGAAAAAAATTAAATTTTTCTGATTCAGTAGTTCGCTGGTCGTGTTCTTTATTCCCTGGCTTTTTTTCGCTCAGTTTATTGTTTTCGGTTTTGGCGTGTCGATTAGTCTCGGGCTGGTTTCGGTGAAGCGTTGCGATTGGCGAAAGTGATGGATCTCCTCAAGGTACTCGACGTTGTTGGCGAGGATTACGCGTGCTGTCAACCGGCTGGTATCCACTGTTCACCAAATCGGAGATCAGATTATCAGGAAATGGGATTCACAGAAAAGCATTTACTTACCACGCACTTCTAACGCACGGTTGGTCATCTTCTGTATTTGATCCATTGTTTTTCGAAGATTTTTCTCTGATTTATGCATGGTGTTTTCCTGTTGAGAGGTTTAAAAGTCACCGGCAAGTAGCACGTGGTCAATGTAATCTAACCTCAATTGACGAGGTGTTGATTTTTCTGACGTTTCTAATATCGAATTGGTTTTTGCTTCAGTGCTAACCTGCGTCGGGTATCAAGGAAGGGTTTGCATGTTTTCTGATAAACGTCAGTTTGATCGTATGTTTTTGTAAACTGGCTCGGGTCGAGGGCCGCACTGAACAACTGGGTCCAACCTGAACAATAAACACGCTATAGAGCCGTTTCACGCCAAACTCAACCTTCTCCGATTTGTATAAAACTTTACATAATTGTTTGTTATGGGCAATCATTCACATTTTTATAAAAATTCGGCCATTTTCAATGTTGTATTTTTTTTCCAAAATGGCATCTGTCATTTTTCAATAAATTGTAGCGTCACTTCGGATATATACGACGTCTGAGACAAAATTGCAGAGAAAAATAAAGTCTTTCTTGGAAAAAATATACATAATATATAGTGTTGAAAATTACAATATTCAAAAAGTATATCTAAAGCACATAAAAAAGAAACTTTTGGAAATCACGAAAAGTGACAAAAATCGTTAAACAAGAACTTTTCGTGAAATATTTGAACTTTTTGCTAGTACGCTTTTTTATGTAATTTTTACACAGGAAACAAAATTTGAGACATTCTAAATCATTATCTATGCAAAAATTACATAAAAATGCTAGTTAACAAGAAAAACTTCTAAAAAAATATGACCAATAGTTGATGTTCTACGATTTTTGTCAATTTTCAAGTGTCCATGGTTTTAAATAATCCTAAGGTATGCAATTTTTAATGAGCTTGATTTAAAACATAAATTATAAATTGAAGATATACTTATTGAGATATTTCGGTTCTTAACACTCTTGAGTTTTTACTTAAAATTATAATAATAATAAAAAAAATATATATAATAAATAATATTTTTTCCAGAATTAACTTTTCTAAACAACTTTGATTCAGAGACGTAATTTCGACCAGAAGTGAAGTTTTAGTGCTACAGTTTATTGAAAAATGGTCGAATTTTTGAAAAAAAAAAATGTGAATGATTGCCAATCATTATGCAAAGTGTGATGCCAATCGGAGAAGGTCGAGTCTTAAATGTTTATATTTTCATCACCGACAAACCGACATGAATCATCAAGAAATTTCTGATCAAAGCACAAAACTGACATCTGCCGCCGTGTTCGCGGAAAATATTTATCCTAGCCACAAACACGCGAGCAAAATGTATGAGTTGGTTCGTGTCTAATCTATTTAATCACATTTGAATCGACCGTTATGGATTCTCGATCAAGAGTTAAGTTTCAGTTTCATGCAAGGTTGCAAATACTCATTTTAGCTAAAATAATGTTTTTCGGAATAATAAAACCAAAAGATGGCATGATGACATGTTTTACTTGTAACTTACAGGAAGAGGTTACACAGTATGCGTTTGAAACATAAAACCTGTAAATTTTGCTTTCTATGAGTCACAATCAGCGATTTGCTGATCGCTGAGTGAGTGAGTGAGTGAGTGTGTAAAAAATCGCTGATTGTGACTCTCATGAAGTGAAATAAACAGGTTTAATATGTCAAACACATTCTTTGCAACCTCTTCTTGTATCTTACCAATTCAAAATATGATCATAGCATCTAATTATTTCGTAATTAAAAAAAAAACATTGTTTTAGCTGATATGAGTATTTGCAACCTTTGTTTCATGTCGGTTTGTCGGTGTTTTCATCCCATTTTGCCTGAAACTGCACACTTGCATAGTTTCATTTTCAAGTGTGAAGCTGTTAAGGCCCAAGCGCAATGACAGCGGAAGCGGAACGGCAGCGGCAGCCTCGGCGGCAGCGGAAAAGCCCGATCTGAGTAAGCCTACTTGTCGGATTGAAAACTAGTTAGAATCAAATCGACTTCGGTTAGGCATCTTGATGCCATTTGTGACAACTGTCAAAGTTTCCGTTTCCGTTCCGCTTCCGCCCACATTGCGCTTGGCCCTTTATCCTCCATTAACCAAAACAAAATCGTTTAGCGATAAACGTAGTTCATATTGCAACATAAACGAATATCTAGCTAAGCTCGCAGCACAATTCGACAGAAGATGATGTTTGCTTGTGCCTGAAACAACACACTCAATGGGAAACTCATTTGCAGTCGCGTTATTCACGAAAGAGAAAATCGATGAAGAGAATCGATCAACAGCGATAAGCCCTTTTATCGTGTTACGCGAGGTTTGTTCAAGAAAAATGAAAAACAATGAATTCGACAGTGAGCATGCATAAGGGCGCCTATACGCGATGATCGATTCTCTTCGTCGATTTTCTTTTTTGTTAATAACTCGCTAGATTTAACGTTTCTCGGTGCGTTTGCTGTTGGTTTTGATAACCAATACAACCTGTTACTACTCTGCATTGAACAAATTCTAGAAAATTGTTTCCCTTAGCTGTAGCAATGCAAAGAGAAAATCGATGAAGAGCATTAGCCCTTATGCATGCTCACTGTCGAATTGTCAAATTATCCCACAGCGAAAACTAACTTCAAGTCAGTCCCATCAAGAAAAAAACATAATTCCATTAAGGTGATTTCTCGTAGAGTCCATAAATGGCCGCCATGGAGGCTATACATGTACTTCCACATCGAATTTTCAATTACGCAAATCTCTGAAATTAATGCCCCATTTCACCTGAAATTGCTACTTCATGTATGCTGCAGTACAACAAACGTGAAGTAGCAGTTTTATTGTGGTACGTGTCGTGGAAGCTGATATTTGTGCACTTAATGATTCGAAGTAGTTACGAGAATATGGATCTCACAGTGAACCTTAAATAAACTATAAAACAACGTCATAGCTATGTTTTTGCTTCTATAGAATTAACAATATTAGACAACATATCGCATCATGAGCTTTGACTCAAGACAGATTCTGTCCACTTCCCCTAGAGTATGTCCGGATGTGGCCAATATAGTTCTCACGACCTTCAATATGACCGCCAATGTGTCATGGCTTTGAATTCTAATGTTATTTGATGTGTCGCGTGATGGATTTTGATTTAAAATGATTCATTGATGATTACCACTTCCCCGGGGATATCCGGAACATGTCCGGATGTGGCCAACATGGTGCTGGTTACTCATCATGACTTTTATTGATATTATTTCCGAATTCTCATGTGAATTGATTTATCGTATGGTGGGTTTGGCACGTTTCTCCAATTTTTAAAATGCATTCAATAACGTTCTATGGGACCATGATATCTTTCTACAGTGGACTAAACTAATGCAGCATCGTCATGGCATTGTGACTGACTTGTGGCTATTTCACTTATTGACGTTAAATGAAATCGCAAGTTAGTCCCACTCAGATTTTGGTCCTAAAATAAAAATTTCACGATATTCTATCCAATATATTGTACCCTGGTTTTACTAAACATAGATGCACTCTATCACATAGCACGTTTATTTTCAAAATTATCCCTTCAAAATAAGTGTAAAAAGAGAAAAGTTGTCAAATCTTCGAACGCCATTTTCTCATATCCAGTTTTTTACAGATGGGACTGACTTGCGGTTATGATCAGCATATGTTAGCAAAGAATCAAAGAACGTTCCACCATTTATATATTATATGTTTTATTGGCATTGATGACAGTTTTCAATTTGTTGTTAAAATTGTTCAGGAGGTAAGTGTACCATTTAAGATAAGTGCCCCAGTTGTAGCATAGCACTATTATAGTATAGCATGGTATAACACCGTATTATAGAATTCATTCTGATAGGTTCTAATAATAATAAATCGCGTGTTACGCTTAATTAGTATAGGGTATGGTGGGGCAAGATGGGTCAGCTAGTACATTTATTAACTTCTAGCGTTCAATAGGGCCTAACTGCAATGATCGATTATCTTAATCGATTTTCTCTTTTTCTAATAACTCGTGTGAATTAAGGGGTTACGCCTTCCTAGGATTTTCAAAAAATCGATTTTCTTTTACATAAAAAGGTACTCTGAAGTGTCAAGAATAAGGGACAATTGGTTCCATGTCGAACAAATTAAAATTCCGAAAGTTATAAGCAAAATTACAAAACTTTGCATCACGCACCTGAACGGTTCGGGTTCGGGCTTCAACCGCGTTTTTTTCGATACAACATTTCTCTCCACGGCCCACACGATAGCATCTGCAATTTTGACTCAATTTGATCTAGACTTTGACGATTGCATTCTCTGATTAATTATCTAGAGAAGTACATACGAACTTTTCAATTGATCAAAAAATGCAATTGTGGTAAACAATTTTAGAAACAAATTTCAGGCGAAAAAACTGATTTTTTGCAAAAACAAGTCCCATTTGCGTAAAATTCAAAAAATTTTCATCTCCGTATGTACTTCTCTAGGTATTCTTATATAAAATAAGAAAAACCACTCGTTTTTGTTCTAGGTTCATAATTACGATGAAGAAAGTGTGGGCCGCGTAACACTACACGGGAAGCAGTGCCACGAACTCGCAGTGCTGCCAACTGCCACACATGGTTTCCCCTTATGAAAAAAATACTGTAAGCACCCCTAATTATGTGTACTATAAGCCCATATAAGTTAATTTAGTATGTGACTTTATTAAATAACAAAAAAAAAATTAATGAAGTTGGTGCATTTTTCTGTATTCTAGGGTGGCGTAACCCCTTAACATTCCTCGGTGCGTTATAAAACCTTTTACCATAGAGATTGCTAAAGTGTGATTGTGTCAGTGATTTGTTTTCATCTGGAAAAAAATTCGCTATAAAGTTTTTTTTCCCGATGAAAACATTTTGCGTATACGTATTATACGTGACGTATGGTTTTTCAAAATTTATATATTGGTTCGATTAAAATTTGCGTCAAAATTATACTTAGTCCGAATAACGGAGTGCAATTCGATCAGTGTTTACTAAAATAATAGAAACTGACAAAATCAAATGTAATGGCGCTCGTAGTCGTTTTTCAGTTCGTAGGTATTCATTTAGTTGTTGATATTATTTTGCGTCGCTGTCGTGCGTTTGGTGTTATAAATGCAATTAAAAATACACGTGTTTTCCAATTTCTTATCCTGCTGGTTTGGAAAGTTTGGTTTGTGTGCCAGGAGAGATAAGCCGCTTGACCGACAGTCACAATCCATCCGGGAAGAAATCCATCACCTCACAAATCGTGCACAGCTCTGGTACTCTTTTCGGTCCTAAGCTAATCGATGCACCCCTCGAAACATAGGAAAATCCACGAACCCCTCATTTTATCTGTCAAACTTTCATAGCGAATCAAAACAAAGATATTGTAGTACTAGAAATTTGACTAGAATGGGGTACGTTAATCGATTTGCTTGGGAGCAATAGGCAAGTCAAGTAGTGAGCCAATTTTAAATCGTTAGTTTTCACCGCTGAGCGCTGTTCTAAGAAAATTATGAGGATAGTTCGAAAGGAATCCAGAGAAGAGTTTAAACTAAATGCTGAAGAGAACTTTCTGAAAGAGTTCCAAAAGCTTTCGAAGAGAATTTTAAGGAAAATATTTGATCGAACTTGTGAGAATGCTTTAGTGCATATCTGAAGAACTTTCACTTATGTACATATGGTATCTTTCTCATAAGAATAGAAACCAAAATTATACAAAAATCTTTATCTGTAGCAAATTTTTCCATGAGCATTTGAAACTTTCTTTCTTTTCACATTCGAATATAGCTGCTGAATATTGATAATTTTAGGTTTGAACCGGGAAAAAATCGGGAATTTCAAGACAATCTCAGGCTTCGATATGAAAGCAGATTCCTACAGCGATACAGAATTGAGTGTATTCAAATTAGTTCAGAAAAGAAGGCTTATTTTGATAAATATTTATGGAGGGAATTCTTTCACAGCATTATGCTTTGGTAGCAAATTGTTACCAATTATTTTTTTGTAACGTAGACATTTATTATGCGAACATATACCTTTCCTACTCGCTATTCGTTAATACTTATTCGAGAGGTAAAACTGATTCTGTTTTAAAACATTCACCTACAATAGAAGAGCCTTTATTACTATAGTTGGCCAATAAAACCTTTTGTGATTAAAATAAAATGATTGATCAGATATGGCAGAATGAGTTGGGGGCAGTTTTCAACATTGATGAGTACGGCTTCAGATCCGTACTCAGTGCATAACAAGAAGGCAGCCATTTCACGTGGTTCCACTATTCAGCTTACAACCCGCGCTACTTTTTGTTTTTAACTAGAAGCGTTTCTAAGTACATGTACATTAATATCTAAAGCAACAATAGTACAAATACAATTGATAGAGAGAACAGTTGAAGTTCCTGATGCAGAACACATTGTACTTTGAGTTTCTAGGTACTGGCTTTCAGCATGTTAAGCTTGGATTGGCATTCCGATTCGACTTTTGAGATCTGTTCCTTCATGCTACGATCTTTGCTATCGAGTGCTTCCTTCATGCGATTTTGTACCTTGAGTAGGGCGGCGTTATAGCCTTCCTTTATGCGGTCGTATTCCTTCAGCATGTGCTGTTCCTTGTCTTCAGCATATTTCTGTAAAAAGTTTGTTAAAATTTGGAATATTTTAAAAGGTATCGTATTAAAAACTTACCTTGTAATTGAGAGCCGTCTTTTTGACTGAGTTGTACTTTTCCATTACCATTTCTAGGCTTTTGTTATACTCGATTTCAATTTCTTTAAACTTTTCAATAACTTCGATCTCACGTTCATGGAACATTTTCCGTTCCTCGTTGACCTGTTTGATTAGTTTCTCCATCGATTCACGTTCAGCTTGTATCAGCTCTCGCTTCTCTTGGAGTTCTCCCTCCAAAAATTGCACCTTCCGCTGCGTGTTGTTCAGTTCGGCCTTGTACTTCTTCATCACTTCTGCCTGTTTATCGAAAAGCGCCCTCGCATCCTCGTCCTTCTTGGCCAACATTTCCGTCATTTTTTCTCTTTCGGTTACGATTGCATACTTCAGCACTTCAACCTCCTTGTTACGCAACAGCAAATCATTCACCCTGTCATGTAGCTGTTTCTTCAGTTCTGTAATATTCTGCTCAAACTTGCCAAACTGTTCCTTAAACTTTTCCTCTATCACTTTGATTTCCGCAGCGAAAGCACGCGCCATTTCCTCCCGTATCCTGTGCTCTTGCTCACGAGTCACTTTCCTATTTTCCATCTCATTTAGCTCGTGATACTCCGAGGACGTATTAACGCTTTGATCACGTGACGATCGCATTCGTTTCTCCGGCTGGGGATGCGGGGAGGTAGCACTGTCCTTGGTCGAACTGTTGCCACTGCTGCTGCTGTTGCTGGTATTTTGAGCCCGCATAAACTGTTCAAATTGGACCGCCTTCTCCTTCAGCTCATCGATCAAGTGATCTCGTTCCGCTTTTAGGTCGAGTTTTTCATGCATCGTGTTTATGGTCGAACGGGCCTCTTTCAGGGCATTTTTAAACTCGTTGATGTTTTTCAGGTGCGATGCGCAGGTATTCTGCAGCTGCAGGTTTTGGATCTCCATCTGGAAGGGAATCAAATTTGGGATCGTATGAAAAACTATGGTATAGGGTGTCCCAGAAAGTATAAGCATATTTTCAACTCGCCGCCATTTCTATCCCGATGAAGTTTATCAGCTGTTCATCGAAGTGTGGTTGTTGTTTACTTAATGCTCAACAAATTTGTGTGCGCAAGGTGCATTTTTTTTACAAAATCATGGAGAACTCTATTTTGTCTTAGAATCATCTCAATCATATGTAAGACAGGCCTGCCCAACAGCATTACCAGATTGTTTTCAAGCTTATCGGCATCAAAGGTTTTAAAAAATCGGTATTTGTCGGTATTTACTATTTTAATTAATTTCATATTAATTAATATAATTATAGATATTTCTGGGGGATATACCAAGAAATTTCCGGTGGAAATCGGTAGAATCTTCTACGGATACTCGGAAAAACACAATATTCAGTGGGAGTATGGAAAAACTGGCGCGGGAAGATGGAAGAACCTTTCAAGCGAAGCCAGAAGAAACGAGGGATGTCAATATAACTTTCTGGTGGAATCGGAAAATAGCATATGGGGTAAGGTGGAAGAAAATTCCAGGGGAAAGATAGAAGAAACTTCCAAAGGAAGATTAAATAAACTTTAGAGTTGGTTGGAAACGCTATCTAATATCAACATGAAGCTTTAGTGTGATAATTTATTAGCTAGAAAAAGTTCTACTAGAGTACGGCAGTGTGAAAATTGAATAGAAGTTGAAAATCAGCTAAGGGCCATTAATGCGACAGTACTAGTCAAACGCACACTCATTTACCTAACTCATACAAGAGTATATGAGCAAGTCATATACACTGGAGTCGCTTTTTACGCGGGTGATACGTCCCGCGTAAAAAAAAAACCGCGTAAATTCCGGAATCCGCGTAAAAAAAAACCGCGTAAATTCCGAAATCCGCGTAAAAAAAAACCGAGTAAAAAAAGACCGTGTAAGAAAAAACCGCGTAAAAAGTGATATACCGCGTAAATTCTAAAATCCGCGTAAAAAAAAAACCAAAATCCGCGTAAAAAAAAACCGCGTAAATTCCGGAATCCGCGTAAAAAAAACCGCGTAAATTCCAAAATCCGCGTAAAAAAAAACCGCGTAAAAAAAAACCGCGTAAAAAAAAACCGTGTAAAAAAAAACCGCGTAAAAAGCGACTCCAGTGTACTCACTCTTTTGCCTGTAGATATGAAGAAATACGTCAAGTCTCCTCATCCATTCATGTATGAGTTAGAGAAAGAAGTGTTTTTATGCAATTTAGAAAAAAATCGCGGATCTCTAGGTCTACTTTCAGGAATTACCTATTTTGCCGGTGATTCCGGATATCCAGATGACCGTTTTCTTGCCACCCGGTAGGATAATCTGTATGATTATTGCATATTTCCACTATGCTCATGATTGTATGTAATTTAGAAAACATTGTGGATCTCTAGGCTTCTTTCAAGAACTGACCATTTTCCCGGTGAATCTGAATTTCCCCAGAGACACCTCTCACGGGTATTCCCGTTCCGACTGGTCAACTGCAGGTTCAATATCGATTCCTTGTCTGTTCCGTTACCTTTCAAATAGAGGCTCAATTTTAACATTTGGTAACCAAATTGCTGAGAACCAGTCATGTTAACATGAAATGACACCGGGTTTTTCCATTTCAGCTGCCCAACCACATGTCCAATCGGGTTTCTACATACCTGTTTCCAATAAAAGTAAATAGAAATACCTTTCGAATGGTGGCTGAATCATAACGATTGACCATTGCATTATCGAGAACCAGCTATGTCAACATGCTTCGACACGCAGTTTGCAGCCTTGGGGTTTTGTCAGTTAATGCTTTCAATAGGTGTCAAATGCAATTGAAGGATACAAACACCACGACAACCGCTTCAAGCAGACCTGTCCAACCTCGCTAAACTAAAGACTAAAGAAGTTACTATGTTTGATGAATATGTTTCAAGCTCCATTTGAATAATTTCTTAGGCTCTGAACCATTTGGTGGATTTTTTTTAACTTTTGGTTAAAATTTGACAGATGGAAAATTATCGATTAACCCTGCTATCCGAACGTGGTTATTTCTGACAGACAAGAAGTTAAATTTTGACAATCGTGGTTGAGTTCTTCTCGAAAACCGGTCGATCGACAGCACAGGGATTTTCGAACATTGAGAATAACTTTCGAAATGTCACTTTTAACCACGAGTTAAATTTAACTCGGCAAATGGTTCACAGCCTTAATCATTCTGGCCAAAATGCATATTAATGGTGGAATTGGGCTAGAAATGCCTCATTGTAGATATCGAGTGACCATGACCAGCCCGTGGGTCGTACGTTGGGTATGCTTGCGTTAGAGGAATTTAAGAAAAATCGTTTGTCCTTGTTTCAACTGTTTGTATTATTATTATTATTATTATAACATTATTAGAAACTTTCAGCCTGTGTGGTAGCTGTTTCACATAACTGACCCTAGCCGCGATTCGACGAGATAAGAAAACGACTTTATGTCAAATGGGCTTCCTCCGTTTTGATATTTATTGAAATTGTTAAGGGGGGAAATACAAGTAAAAATTTTTTTTATCAATTTTTTATATTTTACTTTAATTTTTTTTAAATACTACGAGCACGAGGAAGGAGTGATCTATGGCCCCGGTATCGCCGATTAACCGTAAGTTCCAGAAATCGTGTTTTTACACAACCCAAAACTTTAAACGCGTTTTTCTCGAAACGGTGTTTTTCCAAATTGGCGGGAAAGATAACTCAAAAAGTTCTCATCCAAATGACTTGAAACCTGGCGCATCTTAAAGGAAATAGATTTTTACTCTATGTGAACCGCTGATATTATTTAAAATAGACAATAAATAATTTTCAGTACTGCCTAAAGTGGAAAAAACAGTGATTTTTTAGATATTTTTTTTCTAAATTTTGAAATTGTTTGTTTTTTGTTTGTGAAAAAAAATCTCAAATGTAAAGGAAGATTTAAGCAATTTAATGCAAAAAACCGGAGGAGGAAACAATGAGGAAACTAGAATTACGATTTTCATAATATGTTTCGTATGAACAAATCGTAATTCTAGTTTCCTCAGTGTAGATGGCTTACAAAACTTGGAATGAGCTCCGTTTATCCGTGGTTCCGTAAATACACTCAATTCTGTTTTTACGCGATTTTTTATTTTATTTTTTATGTTGCCCTTATGCAGGCTGGTTACAGCATTTTGAATACTACCACCTAATACCTAATACCTCTTAAAATTTGGTTGAAAATTGAGATCACATGTGTGAGCTCTGGAAATAGTTTCATACGACACGTATGTTATTCATAGCATGCGTATGAAAATTATATGACACAAAAATGATTTCCATACGAAATTAGTCAAAATTTCGTACGAGGCTGTAATGAATTTTATGAGTTTTATATTTTTTTTAAAGAGATTTTTAGCCTTAGGCTAGTTCATCTCTAAATTTTATGAGTTGATCTTGTGTGAAAAAAAAATCATACGTCGTTCGTATGAAAAGCTGTTCAAAACAAAACAATATGGCGTATACGAGCCAAAATTACTAGCGTATATTAAAGTTCCGGCGGAAACTTGGCCTGTATTGAGAGATAAAAACGCTGAATTCTAAATAATTTTCCGGATCCTACCTACATATTTAAAATTATAGAGTGTATGGCTTTAAAAACAACCATTTTCGCGTTCTGGTAGATCCAGAAGAGCGATTTGATTTGGACGTGAAATGCATAATGGCTAGAACAAAACGTAAGAAGGTAATGTAAAGATTATTTCAAATATTTACTATCAATTTGTCCACAGAATCTGCCTAATATCAAAATACAGCGGTTACTGCAATCCTGTTGCGATAACGGACGTAACTGAGTTAAAGTTGGGACCAGTGGCGTCAATAGCCAGACAGATTGTAGTCCCGGCACTTAAAATTTAAAAGTTAATTTTTGAGTGAAGTTGTTTATAATACAAAAACTCAAATGCAACGCTTCAACGTTTAATTTTTCTTTGTTTATAAAATAAATATGAACTTATGATTACATGTATATAATTAATTTGCAAGAAAAAAAAACTACAAATAGCTACAATGAATTTCATAGTTGATTCGATTGCTTTTCGTATTCCTCTCGTTCCTAATTCATACGATTGAAACGTAAATTTCATACTCATAACGTATCATTTTCATACGACACATTTATGAAATCCATATGTGTCTACTGCAAAAAACATAAATGATAACAGAGGTGCGCGTTCATATTTCTATCGCATGAAATTCAAAATAAATTCTTTTGGTTAAATTCCATAAACATTTCGTATGAAATTCCAACGAATTATATCCTCAGTGTAGTTATGCGCTTGGGCTTCAATAATCTTTAAACCCTCGGGAACCTTCTGGAAAGGCGCTCACGAACGAATAATTTAGGTTAATTAAATGGGTACTCATCCCTTTCTGACATCTCTGTTCAGGTTATCTGAAATATCCTAACATACAAATTTACCTTCGATATTTCCGTCAGATTGTCAATACATCTAGCGCAGCTATTGGACGACTGTTTCTTGTCTTTGGGCTCTTGACTGCTATCGTGTCTCTCCTGCAATTCCCTCAGCAGCGATTCGTGTGTGATCTTCTCCTTATCGAGCAACTTTGTCAACTCTGAAGATTTCAATTCTGCTAGCTGGAGAGCTCGTTCCAACGAGGCTACCTTCTCCCTTAGCATGGAGATCTCTTTTGCCATATCCTGAGTTTTCAGCGTGGCCAGCTCTCTATTCAGAGCATCCTTACAGCCGGACATCTTAATGTACAAGTTTTTCAACCGCTCACACTCACCCTGCGAGTCTTTGAGAAGGAACTTTTGTTTCTCCAATTCAAGTTTGATTGTGTCAAGCGATTGAGAATTTATTTCCATTTTTTTCGTTCGCTCTTCCAGTTGCTGATTATCTTTTTCCAATTTTTCGACCCTGTCCTCTAGTTTTGCTTTTTCCTGTTTTAGTGCAAAAATCTTATCCTCCAGTGCTTCCTGCTTATCGTAGCTAGATCTTCGTCCCTGTTTGGATCCGTTCTGTTCTTTTTTGTACAACTTTTCCAGCTCTCCTTCCAGAATTTTACACTTGGAATTCACTCGAAATGCCTCCTCCTTGTACTGATTCATTTGCACCAGTGCCAGGCTTTCGTCCTTTTTCAGCTGTTGAATCTCCCGTTCCCGGGTGGCGAGGTCCGTTTCGAGTCGTTTGATCGTTTCCCTTTTCTCCTTTTGTCCATTCATGCTAAGTAGTAGTTCTTGCTTCAATTTCGCAACACGATCTTCAGTATTTCTGTTGGCACTCGGATTGATCGGGGTGCTACCGATTAGATTCTTACGCGAAACCGCAAAAGTACAGGTGCCATCTCGACCTGGACTGCCACCGTGTTCATCACCAGAGCTAATAACACTGTCCATCATTTCCAGCTCAGCATTAGTGGTCTCGAGTCTGTAAGAACGTAAAAATGGATAAATTAATTCCCTTCGAAAATTACTTCAAGCGTTTTTATCCCTCACTTGTGCGTTAGTGTACTGATCGTCTTCTGCATATCTTGAGTTTGCTGCTCCAGCGCGTTCACCTTAGTTTTAAGTCGCAGATTGTCCTGACTAAAACTGGTAATGTTCATGGTTTTCGCCATCAAATTCTCGCACTGCCTCTGCGAGTCTTCCAGACTATCCTGCAACCTTTGGATAGTTTCAGTTTTTTCAACCAACAATGCATCCCTCAGCGATTGTAGTTCTTTGTAACGCACTTCCAAGCGTCGAACTTCCTGCACTCGATCGTCCAATTCCGAGCGAAGATTATCAACTTGCTGTTGCATCATTGCCATCTTCGCATTGTGTTTCTCTTCGGCTTGCTTCAGTAAATGATCGGTATGACGGTCGGCCTTCATACCCACCGACTGTTCCACCATGTGATACTTGTGAAGTGTATCCTGGAGCATCGTCTTCTTATGCTCCAGATCTACTTCTAGCTTAAGATTCGTGTCCTCCATAGATTTGATTTTGGCTTTCAATTTAGAGATTGTATCTTCCTGTTCAGAGATCTTAGTTTTACTTTCCACTAAGATGTCGTGAGTCTGCTTTCGGGTCATGTTTGCTCGGTCCCGCTCGCCTTCGGCCAACATGAGTCGCTTTTTGTGTTCATTAGCCTGCTGTTCGAATTCCTTGCTTTTGTCATGCATCATCCTGGTGACGTGCTCAAATTCACGACATTTTGATTCGTACATCTGCTTCCAATGGGACACTTCTAGCATATGGTGACCATCACCTCCACCACCGATGCCAATTCCACCATTCTTCATCCCAATTCCTTCCAAAACTCTAAAAATATAAAAATTATACAATTCTACCTGCCAGATGCTATCATAAACCTAAACATTTTAACATACCTTTCCCCCTTGGGACGCGGCGTAGGTGGTGGTGGTGAATGTTCGGAATGATGCGATGAATAGTTTAGCGAATTCAGCGTATCGTTTTGATCTTCGTCATCAATCAAATCATCAAACGCGTTTACTATCTCCTTGGCCAGCTCTTTCTCCCGTCTTTGTTGATCTTCCAGTGCTTCCTCCTCTTCGGCTCGATGTAGAGCACTGGTATTATTAACCTGAATGCTTCCACCATCGTTGAATAAGGTCACTCCCGGATTGCCGTTCATTTTCAACTGGCGGCCACAATATTTTCACCCCGGAAAAAGAAATCACCAAACCGATCCACAGACTTGTGATCTGAGACGCGCTCTAATAATAATTCAAAATCGGGCCTACACTGTCTCAGTTACAATCACGCACGAGCAAGCGTTCTGCCTCCTCGCTTCACGGTCGATGATTTCATTCTGTCGATTTTCAAGGATTTTTCCACTCGCGTCAGGGCAATAATCACTTTGAGAAAAATAATATGCGCGAATACCTGTGACTTGTGAAACCGGGAGCAGGCGGAAAATGCGAAAGGAATGCTGCGACTGCAACGATGGCAGGGGACAATAGTAAACAAAACGGCTTTTCGTGACCTTGACGCTTGCCTCATGTGGCGTTTCGCTTGAAGTTTGACAGTTTCCAGGCGCGTGCGGCGATCAGGCCCACACGAATTGCCGGCGAAAAAGTGACGTCATTTGACATTGAGCGACTTGAAGACTGATCGTTCGCCCTTTGTTCGGAATGCGGACGAAGGGCGACTCGCCCCGCTAGAGTAATTTCATCCGCCGGGCGATCAAATGGCGCTCCGGGATCCGGACGAAAGGCGACTCGCCCCGCTAGTGTAATTTCATCCGCCGGGCGACCAAATGGCGCTCCGGGATCCGGACAAAAGGCGACTCGCCCCGCTAGAGTAATTTCATGCGCCGGGCTACCAAATAGCGAATGGAACTTAGCCATTTTTTTGTGATTTTTTTTCGCGGTGGCTGTCAGTCATCTTTTCATATCGTGCGAGTGGAGAAGTGTTTTTTTTTATCCGCGCCACGAAAATGGCCAATTCAATTTTGATGTAATTGTTTTTCAAAATTGATCCGCTGGAGGAATCCGGCTGAGTTGAGCATCCTTATTGATGCGTTGCATCAGTTAGGATACATAACTCAACCGGATTCATCCAACGGATCAATATTGGAAAGTAATTACAAATACTAACAGACAGATAAAAAATTTGATGATTTTTTAAAATACTTTTTTTCAGCCGGCTGCTTCCACTGATCCGCTGGAGGAATCCGGCTGAGTTAAGCATCTTTACAGATGCAACGCATGCCGATGCCGGATCCCGATGTTTATGTTTAAGGTAAAGTTAAGTTAAATTTTTATTAAAATTAAGTAAAAGTTAAAGTTATTTCAATGTTAAGTTAAATTAAGTATGTAACAACTAAATTAAAGTTAAAATTATGTTGAAGTTAAGTTAAAGTTCGGCTAATTAAGTTAGAGTTATGTTAATTTCATGCTATAATTATGTTAAAGTAAAGTAAAAGTTAAGTTAATGTTATGTTAAATTTAAAGTTCTGTTAATAGTAAGATAAACATTTGTTAAAACAAAAGTTAAAATTTAGTTAATGTTACGTTAAAGTTAAGCTAGAGTTAAGTTAAGGTTATGTTTAAGTTAAGTTAAAGGTAAGTTACAGTTATGTTTATGTTAAGATAAAGTTAAGTTACTTTATGTTTAAGATAAAGTTAAGTTAAAGGTAAGTTAAAGTTATGTTGAAGTTAAGTTAACGTTAAGTTAAAGTTAAGTTAAATTTAAGTTAACGTTAAGTTAATGGTAAGTTAAAATTATGTTAAGGTGAAGTTTATTCAAATTTATGTATGAGTTATGTTAAAGTTAACTTTAAATTAAATTTATGTTAAAGTTAAAGTTACGTTAAAGTTATGGTAATGTTAAGTTATAATTAATTTAAATTTAAAGTTATGTTAAAGTTAAAGTTATGCTAAAAATAAATTAAATTTATGTTGAATTTGTTTCAATTTAAGGTGAAGTTTTGCTACAATTATGTTCCAGTAAATTTAAGTTAAAGTTATGCTATAGGTAAGTTAAAGTTAAGTTAAATTTAAGTTAAGTTTAGTCAACGTTATGTTAAAGTTAAAGTTGATGCTTAAAGTTAAGTTAAAGTTCAGTAAATTTTAGGATAAAGTTATGTTAAATTTAAGTTAAAATTACGTTTAGTTAAAGTTAAGTTAAAGTTATGTTAAGTTAATGTTCGGTTTGAGTTAAAGTTATGTTAATGTTAAAGTTATGTTAAATTTAAGTTAAAATTTAAGGTTAAGTTAATGTTAGGTTAAAGTTATGTTAAAATTTAAGTTATGTTAAATTTAAGTCAAAATAAAGTTAAGGTTATGTTAAAGTTTATTTAAAGTTAAGTTAAAGTTTAGTTAAAGTTAAGTTAAGTTTAAGTTAAGTTTAAGTTAAATTTAAGTTAAGTTAAGTTTAAGTTAAGTTTAAGTTAAGTTTAGGTTATCTTAACGTTATGTTAAAGTTAAAGTTAATGCTTAAGTTAATGTTAGGATAAAGTTATGTTAAATGTAAGTTAAAATTACAATAAGGTTTTGTTTAAGTTAAAGATATGTTAAGTTAATGATCGGTTAAAGATAAAGTTATGCTAATGTTAAATTTAAGTTAAAATTTAAAGTTAATTTTAGTTTAAAGTTATGTAAAAAATTAAGTAATGTTAGAATTTAAGTTAAAGTTAAGTTAAAGTTAAGTTAAAGTTAAGTTAAAGTTAAGTTAAAGTTAAGTTAAAGTTGAGTTAAAGTTGAGTTAAAGATGAGTTAAGTTAAGTTAAAGTTAAGTTAAAATTAAGTTAAAATTAAGTTAAAGTTAAGTTAAAGTTAAGTTTGCGTTAAGTTAAATTTAAGTTAAAGTTAAATTAAAGTTAAGTTAAAGTTGAGTTAAAGTTGAATTAAATTAAGTTAAAATTAAGTTAAAGTTAAGTTAAAGTTAAGTTAAAGTTCAGTTAAAGTTAAGTTAAAGTTAAGTTAAAGTTAAGTTAAAGTTGAGTTAAAACTGAGTTAAGTTAAAGTTAAGTTCAAGTTAAGTTAAAAATAAGTTAAAGTTCAGTTAAAGTTAAGTTAAAATGAAGTTAAAGTTAAGTTAAAGTTAAGTTTAAGTTAAGTTAAAGTTAAGTTAAAGTTGAGTTAAAGTTGAATTAAATTAAGTTAAAATTAAGTTAAAGTTAAGTTAAAGTTCAGTTAAAGTTAAGTTAAAGTTAAGTTAAAGTTCAGTTAAAGTTAAGTTAAAGTTAAGTTAAAATGAAGTTAAACCTGAGTTAAAGTTGAATTAAATTAAGTTAAAATTAAGTTAAAGTTAAGTTAAAGTTCAGTTAAAGTTAAGTTAAAGTTAAGTTAAAGTTAAGTAAAAGTTGAGTTAAAGTTGAGTTAAGTTAAGTTAAAGTTAAGTTAAAGTTAAGTTAAAGTTAAGTTAAAGTTAAGTTAAAGTTAAGTTAAAATTAAGTTAAAGTTAAGTTAAAGTTAAGTTAAAGTTAAGTTAAAATTAAGCTAAAGTTAAGTTAAAGTTAAGTTTAAGTTAAGTTAAATTTAAGTTAAAGTTAAATTAAAGTTAAGTTAAAGTTGAGTTATAGTTGATTTAAATTAAGTTAAAATTAAGTTAAAGTTAAGTTAAAGTTCAGTTAAAGTTAAGTTAAAGTTAAGTTAAAGTTGTGTTAAGTTAAAGTTAAGTTAAAATTAAGTTAAAGTTAAGTTAAAGTTAAGTTAAAGTTAAGTTAAAGTTAAGTTAAAGTTAAGTTAAAGTTAAGTTAAAGTTAAGTTAAAGTTAAGTTAAAGTTAAGTTAAAGTTAAGTTAAAATGAAGTTAAAGTTAAGTTAAAGTTAAGTTTAAGTTAAGTTAAAGTTAAGTTAAAGTTGAGTTAAAGTTGAATTAAATTAAGTTAAAATTAAGTTAAAGTTAAGTTAAAGTTCAGTTAAAGTTAAGTTAAAGTTAAGTTAAAGTTCAGTTAAAGTTAAGTTAAAGTTAAGTTAAAGTTAAGTTTAAGTTAAGTTTAAGTTAAGTTAAAGTTAAGTTAAATTTGAGTTAAAGTTGAATTAAATTAAGTTAAAATTAAGTTAAAGTTAAGTTAAAGTTCAGTTAAAGTTAAGTTAAAGTTAAGTTAAAGTTGAGTTAAAGTTGAGTTAAGTTAAGTTAAAGTTAAGTTAAAGTTAAGTTAAAGTTATGTTAAAGTTAAGTTAAAGTTAAGTTAAAGTTATGTTTAAGTTAAGTTAAAGTTAAGTAAAAGTTGAGTTAAAGTTGAATTAAATTAAGTTAAAGTTAAATTAAAGTTAAGTTAAAGTTAAGTTAAAGTTAAGTTAAAGTTCAGTTAAAGTTAAGTTAAAGTTAAGTTAAAGTTGTGTTAAGTTAAAGTTAAGTTAAAATTAAGTTAAAGTTAAGTTAAAGTTAAGTTAAAGTTAAGTTAAAGTTAAGTTAAAGTTAAGTTAAAATTAAGTTAAAGTTAAGTTAAAGTTAAGTTAAAGTTAAGTTAAAATGAAGTTAAAGTTAAGTTAAAGTTAAGTTTAAGTTAAGTAAAAGTTAAGTTAAAATTGAGTTAAAGTTGAATTAAATTAAGTTAAAATTAAGTTAAAGTTAAGTTAAAGTTCAGTTAAAGTTAAGTTAAAGTTAAGTTAAAGTTCAGTTAAAGTTAAGTTAAAGTTAAGTTAAAGTTAAGTTTAAGTTAAGTTTAAGTTAAGTTAAATTAAATTAAGTTAAAGTTAAGTTAAAGTTAAGTTAAAGTTAAGTTAAAGTTAAGTTAAAGTTCAGTTAAGGTTAAGTTAAAGTTAAGTTAAAGTTGTGTTAAGTTAAAGTTAAGTTAAAATTAAGTTAAAGTTAAGTTAAAGTTAAGTTAAAGTTAAGTTAAAGTTAAGTTAAAGTTAAGTTAAAATTAAGTTAAAGTTAAGTTAAAGTTAAGTTAAAGTTAAGTTAAAATGAAGTTAAAGTTAAGTTAAAGTTAAGTTTAAGTTAAGTAAAAGTTAAGTTAAAATTGAGTTAAAGTTGAATTAAATTAAGTTAAAATTAAGTTAAAGTTAAGTTAAAGTTCAGTTAAAGTTAAGTTAAAGTTAAGTTAAAGTTCAGTTAAAGTTAAGTTAAAGTTAAGTTAAAGTTAAGTTTAAGTTAAGTTTAAGTTAAGTTAAATTAAATTAAGTTAAAGTTAAGTTAAAGTTAAGTTAAAGTTAAGTTAAAGTTAAGTTAAAGTTAAGTTAAAGTTAAGTTAAAGTTAAGTTAAAGTTGAGTTAAAGTTGAGTTAAAGATGAGTTAAGTTAAGTTAAAGTTAAGTTAAAATTAAGTTAAAATTAAGTTAAAGTTAAGTTAAAGTTAAGTTTGCGTTAAGTTAAATTTAAGTTAAAGTTAAATTAAAGTTAAGTTAAAGTTGAGTTAAAGTTGAATTAAATTAAGTTAAAATTAAGTTAAAGTTAAGTTAAAGTTAAGTTAAAGTTCAGTTAAAGTTAAGTTAAAGTTAAGTTAAAGTTAAGTTAAAGTTGAGTTAAAACTGAGTTAAGTTAAAGTTAAGTTCAAGTTAAGTTAAAAATAAGTTAAAGTTCAGTTAAAGTTAAGTTAAAATGAAGTTAAAGTTAAGTTAAAGTTAAGTTTAAGTTAAGTTAAAGTTAAGTTAAAGTTGAGTTAAAGTTGAATTAAATTAAGTTAAAATTAAGTTAAAGTTAAGTTAAAGTTCAGTTAAAGTTAAGTTAAAGTTAAGTTAAAGTTCAGTTAAAGTTAAGTTAAAGTTAAGTTAAAATGAAGTTAAACCTGAGTTAAAGTTGAATTAAATTAAGTTAAAATTAAGTTAAAGTTAAGTTAAAGTTCAGTTAAAGTTAAGTTAAAGTTAAGTTAAAGTTAAGTAAAAGTTGAGTTAAAGTTGAGTTAAGTTAAGTTAAAGTTAAGTTAAAGTTAAGTTAAAGTTAAGTTAAAGTTAAGTTAAAGTTAAGTTAAAATTAAGTTAAAGTTAAGTTAAAGTTAAGTTAAAGTTAAGTTAAAATTAAGCTAAAGTTAAGTTAAAGTTAAGTTTAAGTTAAGTTAAATTTAAGTTAAAGTTAAATTAAAGTTAAGTTAAAGTTGAGTTATAGTTGATTTAAATTAAGTTAAAATTAAGTTAAAGTTAAGTTAAAGTTCAGTTAAAGTTAAGTTAAAGTTAAGTTAAAGTTGTGTTAAGTTAAAGTTAAGTTAAAATTAAGTTAAAGTTAAGTTAAAGTTAAGTTAAAGTTAAGTTAAAGTTAAGTTAAAGTTAAGTTAAAGTTAAGTTAAAGTTAAGTTAAAGTTAAGTTAAAGTTAAGTTAAAGTTAAGTTAAAGTTAAGTTAAAATGAAGTTAAAGTTAAGTTAAAGTTAAGTTTAAGTTAAGTTAAAGTTAAGTTAAAGTTGAGTTAAAGTTAAGTTAAAGTTATGTTAAAGTTAAGTTAAAGTTAAGTTAAAGTTATGTTTAAGTTAAGTTAAAGTTAAGTAAAAGTTGAGTTAAAGTTGAATTAAATTAAGTTAAAGTTAAATTAAAGTTAAGTTAAAGTTAAGTTAAAGTTAAGTTAAAGTTCAGTTAAAGTTAAGTTAAAGTTAAGTTAAAGTTGTGTTAAGTTAAAGTTAAGTTAAAATTAAGTTAAAGTTAAGTTAAAGTTAAGTTAAAGTTAAGTTAAAGTTAAGTTAAAGTTAAGTTAAAATTAAGTTAAAGTTAAGTTAAAGTTAAGTTAAAGTTAAGTTAAAATGAAGTTAAAGTTAAGTTAAAGTTAAGTTTAAGTTAAGTAAAAGTTAAGTTAAAATTGAGTAAAAGTTGAATTAAAGTAAGTTAAAATTAAGTTAAAGTTAAGTTAAAGTTCAGTTAAAGTTAAGTTAAAGTTAAGTTAAAGTTCAGTTAAAGTTAAGTTAAAGTTAAGTTAAAGTTAAGTTAAAGTTAAGTTTAAGTTAAGTTAAATTAAATTAAGTTAAAGTTAAGTTAAAGTTAAGTTAAAGTTAAGTTAAAGTTAAGTTAAAGTTAAGTTAAAGTTCAGTTAAAGTTAAGTTAAAGTTAAGTTAAAGTTGTGTTAAGTTAAAGTTAAGTTAAAATTAAGTTAAAGTTAAGTTAAAGTTAAGTTAAAGTTAAGTTAAAGTTAAGTTAAAGTTAAGTTAAAATTAAGTTAAAGTTAAGTTAAAGTTAAGTTAAAGTTAAGTTAAAATGAAGTTAAAGTTAAGTTAAAGTTAAGTTTAAGTTAAGTAAAAGTTAAGTTAAAATTGAGTTAAAGTTGAATTAAATTAAGTTAAAATTAAGTTAAAGTTAAGTTAAAGTTCAGTTAAAGTTAAGTTAAAGTTAAGTTAAAGTTCAGTTAAAGTTAAGTTAAAGTTAAGTTAAAGTTAAGTTAAAGTTAAGTTTAAGTTAAGTTTAAGTTAAGTTAAAGTTAAGTTAAAGTTAAGTTAAAATGAAGTTAAAGTTAAGTTAAAGTTAAGTAAAAGTTGAGTTAAAGTTGAATTAAATTAAGTTAAAGTTAAGTTAAAGTTAAGTTGAAGTTAAGTTAAAGTTAAGTTAAAGTAAAGTTAAAGTAAATTTAAAGTTAAGTTAAAGTTAAAGTTAAGTTAAAGTTAAGTTAAAGTTAAGTTAAAGTTGAGTCAAAGTTAAGTTAAAGTTAAGTTAAAGTTAAGTTAAATTTAAGTTAAAGTTAAATTAAAATGAAGTTAAGTTAAGTTAAAGTTCAGTTAAAGTTAAGTTAAAGTTAAGTTAAAGTTCAGTTAAAGTTAAGTTAAAGTTAAGTTAAAGTTAAGTTAAAGTTAAGTTAAAGTTAAGTTAAAGTTGAGTTAAATTAAGTTAAAATTAAGTTAAAGATAAGTTAAAGTTAAGTTAAAGTTAAGTTAAAGTTAAGTTAAAATGAAGTTAAAGTTAAGTTAAAGTTAAGTTAATGTTGAGTTAAAGTTGAATTAAATTAAGTTAAAATTAAGTTAAAGTTAAGTTAAAGTTAAGTTAAAGTTAAGTTAAAGTTAAGTTAAAGTTAAGTTAAAGTTAAGTTAAAGTTAAGTTAAAGTTAAGTTAAAGTTAAGTTAAAGTTAATTTAAAGTTAAGTTAAAGTTAAGTTAAAGTTAAGTTAAAGTTAAGTTTAAGTTAAAGTTAAGTTAAAGTTAAGTTAAAGTTAAGTTAAAGTTGAGTTTAAGTTAAGTTAAAGTTAAGTTAAAGTTAAGTTAAAATGTAGTTAAAATGAAGTTAAAGTTAAGTTAAAGTTAAGTAAAAGTTGAGTTGAAGTTGAATTAAATTAAGTTAAAGTTAAGTTAAAGTTCAGTTAAAGTTAAGTTAAAGTTAAGTTAAAGTTCAGTTAAAGTTAAGTTAAAGTTAAGTTAAAGTTCAGTTAAAGTTAAGTTAAAGTTAAGTTAAAGTTAAGTTAAAGTTAAGTTAAAGTTAAGTTAAAGTTGAGTTAAATTAAGTTAAAATTAAGTTAAAGATAAGTTAAAGTTAAGTTAAAGTTAAGTTAAAGTAAAGTTAAAATGAAGTTAAAGTTAAGTTAAAGTTAAGTTAAAGTTGAGTTAAAGTTGAATTAAATTAAGTTAAAATTAAGTTAAAGTTAAGTTAAAGTTAAGTTAAAGTTAAGTTAAAGTTAAGTTAAAGTTAAGTTAAAGTTAAGTTAAAGTTAAGTTAAAGTTAAGTTAAAGTTAAGTTAAAGTTAAGTTAAAGTTAAGTTTAAGTTAAGTTAAAATTAAGTTAAAATTAAGTTAAAGTTAAGTTAAAGTTCAGTTAAAGTTAAGTTAAAGTTAAGTTAAAGTTAAGTTAAAGTTAAGTTAAAGTTGAGTTAAAGTTAAGTTAAAGTTAAGTTAAAATTGAGTTAAAGTTAAGTTAAAGTTGAGTTAAAGTTGAGTTAAAGTTGAGTTAAGTTAAGTTAAAGTTATGTTAAAGTTAAGTTAAAGTTATGTTAAAGTTAAGTTAAAGTTAAGTTAAAGTTAAAGTTATGTTAAAGTTAAAGTTAATGCATAAGTTAAGTTAAAGTTCAGTTAATTTTAAGATAAAGTTATGTTAAATTTAAGTTCAAATTACGTTAAGTTAAAGTTAAGTTAAAGATATGTTAAGTTAATGTTCGGTTTAAGTTAAAGTTATGTTAAAGTTTAAAGTTATGTTTAATTTAAGCTAAAATTTAAAGTTAAGTTAAAGTTAAGTTAAAGTTATGTTAAAATTTAAGTTATGTTAAAATTAAGTCAAAGTTAAGTAAAGGTTATGTTAAAGTTTATTTAAAGTTAAGTTAAAATTTAGTTGAAGTTAAGTTAAGTTTAACTTAAGTTTAAGTTAAATTATCCCGTAATTTAATAATCGTTTAATAAATGTAGAATAGTGTCTAATGAAACATTATTTCACATAATAATCAAGCGTCTATATACACCTTTATATCATCGCTGTTTAAGGAAGTAATGATGTCTAATTAACGCTGAATAATCAAAAATTTGATCGAATAAGCTCTGTTACAATTTTTGTAAGTCGAAGAGAAGCTTCTCGACATACCTTATTCAACACCAAATACTTCGATGTTGTAGTTGAATAAATTCTCCAGATTTGTGTGAACAAAGCCTGAACAGAGGTTAATATTTAAAATAGTACAAGTATTATTAAGCATGAAGTGATATAAAATAGTCAAGAAGTCGTTTCTTCAATAGGCAATTGTTTGTTGGGAAGTAAATGTTAGGTTAAAGTTATGTTAAAATTGATTTTTGGCCTCTATTCGTGACCCAAATTCCAAAAATACCCATATTTATGGACTTTTGAAATTATTTTTCACTTTTTAGAAACTGGAAGCCGCCACATTTGATTTCAAAATGGCATCGGATATCGATTTTCTCTAGACGACAACCTCCAAAAACCTTCAAAAAAATCCCATATTGATTGATATTTGATAGTAATTCCCAATCTCTTCTTGGATCTCGGAATTCAAAATGGCGTCGTATGCCTATTTCCAATCTCTAGACGTCACCCGATCCCAAAAATACCCATTTTATAGATAATTGACAGCATTCCCAATTTTTCTTAAACCAGAAGCCGCCATCTTTAATTTCAAAAACTTATCGGATATTGATTAGTGGCCTTTAGTCATTAGCCCGATTCTAAAAATACCCATATTTATGGATATTTGACACTTTTTCTGCAACAGGAATCCTCCACCTTGGATTTCAAAGTAGCGTCGGATATCGATTTCCTATATCTACACGTCACCCCGATTCCAAAAATACCCATATCGATGTCAATGGTATCAACGGTATATGACAATATATCCCATATTTGATTTAAAAATGGCGTCAGATATCGATTTCCAGTTGATTGTAGATTGTAGATTGTAGTAGAGTTGGAAACTTGATCATGTAAACACTACGCATCATTGTCTGGTAGTACGTTAAAAAATGATACAACAATCGTCAAGTTCGCTGTAACGTCACCTAGTGCCTCGTCATCCACGTATTGGCGCCTATGTCAGTAGTCTAATAACTCTTAGCGCGCTGATGGCATGGTTCCAATGCCGCATAGAGAGTTGCTACAATGATATTAGGTTAGCTAAGGTCAGTTAACTGACTGGTGGGGAACGGGAGCTTTAGCTATGACTATTATGTATGCATTTCTATAACGTTATCTAACAACAATGGTGTGTACTGTTTACAAAATCATGTTTGTAATTCTAATGTGTTGTATGGTTGAAAGCATTTGAAAAAGTTAGATTTTAATGTTTTGCACATTTGAAAACATCCGAAAACAATAAGTTCTTAGTACAATTGAAAACACCCGAAAATCATTTTGTTTTAATGTCTTGTACATTTGACAACATCAGGAAGCATATACATTTGAAAACACCCGAAGAACGTTAAATTTTAACGTTTTGTACGTCTAAAATCATCTAAAAAATAAAAATTCGATTAAAATTCTCGACGTCAGAACAACATTTGAATAGCAAAATTTTATTTCACGTTACATCTAAATAGGGTTACGGTATGTAATGTGGGTCTAGTCCTTTCATTCGGCCTATCACGCAAATAAATAATTAATTAAGGAATATTACACAAAAAATAAGGAAAATATTGATCACTGATGGTTGATAAATGTGTACCACACACAAATCAATTTATATCACAACATTTCAATACATTTTCAGCTCTCGTAAGTAATAAAACTGGTTGAGAATATCACAATGTTCGGAGTTTTTAGCCGCCATGACTTATAAGGTTAAGATGGGAAGGTTGACTGACGATCATCAAATGGCCTGATTATGGCATTTATTGATTGGAATTACCTGATAATACACACTAGACGTAAAACTTACAGTTGCTGTTTGAATATTTTATGTTTATTTTAATTGTTTAACAACGTTTTCACAAGTAAAACATGGACCCAACTTTAGGGACACATTTCTTTTCTATGTTCCTAACTATGGCCCATGAAATTCATTTGACAGCATATAGCAATAAGAGTAACGTCAACAATGTTGTTTTGCATTTGGATGATAAGGAACGAACAGGAAGGGAGATTTTTTCTGCCAAACCTGTATAATGAACATCACAATGTTCTGATTTAGATATTCTGCGGTCAAAAGACGATAAGCGAAATTTTTAATTTTTAATTTTTAAATTGAGTGATTTAATGTAGTTTTCGTAAAATTTTCTCTAAGAAATGTTTTGAGGAATGAAGAGCATTAAGTTAACAGTGATAGTGATAAAAAAAAATACATCAGAAAACGTTACCAAGAGCGTTTTTTTGAGGATCAAACAAGATAGGACGAAGTTGCATCCATAAATAGACCCAATTTGGGGACAATAGACCCATATTACATACATTTCCCTCGTGAGTTATTGTCTTAAAAAAAGTAAGTTTTTCAACTTTTCGTGGTTTCTGATAGCAAACGACATGATAAGCATATCTAAGCATACCATTTAGCAGTAGAATATCGTTTGCAGGTAAATTCATTGATGAGTTATGATTAAAAACGTAATCGATGGCTGCATATTAGACCGAGGTTAGGGACGTATACCCTAGCAATGTTTTCTAATGTTTTATGCCAGGAATATATTTTATTTCGATGCTGATGTAGACATCAAACGTTAGGCAAACGTAAATTTTTATTCGGGTTCCCCCGGGACACCCGGAATATGTCCGCATGTGGCCAAAGTGGTTCTTGTTCTGGTTCTTGTAGTGGTTTGAGTTCTATTGAACCAGAAATTGAATTCTGATGTATTTTGATGAGTCGCATGATGGGTTTGACCCTAATCAGATGTTGGCCTCTTCCCCCGGGACACCCGGAATGTGTCCGGATGTGGCCAAAGTGGTTCTAGGAACTAGATTTGAGTTCCATTAAACCAGTCGTTGAATTCTCATGTAATTTGATGTGTCGCATGATGGGTTTGGCCCTAATCAGATGTTGGCCTCTTCCCCCGGGACACCCGGAATATGTCCGGATGTGGCCAAAGTGGTTCTTGGAACTAGATTTG